GACGTGGACATGGACGTGGACGTGGACATGGACGTGGACTGGACATGGACGTGGACGTGGACGTGGAAATGGACTGGACGTGGACGTAGAAATGGACGTGAACGTGGACGTTGGACGTGGACGTGGACATAGACGTGGACTTGGACGTGGACGTGGACGTGGACGTAGAAATGGACGTGGACGTTGGAGGTGGGGACGTGACATGGACGTGGACGTGGACGTGACGTGGACGTCGAAGTGGACGTGGACGTGGACCTGGACCTGGATGTGGACCTGGACGTAGACATGGACGTGGACGTGACGTGGACGGTGGACGTGGACATGGACGTGGACGTGGAAGTGGACGTGGACGTGGACGTAGAAATGGACGTGGACGTGGACCGTGGACATGGACTGGACCTGGACGTGGACGTGGACGTGGACGTAGAAATGGACGTGGACGTGACGTGAACGTGGACGTGGGACGTGGACGTGGACGTGGACGTGGACGTGGAAATGGACGTGGACGTGGAAATGGACGTGGACGTGGACGTCGAAATGGACGTGACGTGGACCGTGGAACGTGGACGTGGACGTAGAAATAGACGTGGACGTCAGAAATGGACGTGGACGTAGAAATGGACGTGGACGTGGACTTGGTTGTGGACGTGGACGGGGACGTGGAAGGTGGAAGTGGACGTGGACGTGGACGTGGAAGTGGACGTGGACGTGGACATGGAGGTTGACGTGGACGGGACGTGGAGGTGGACGTGCATGGACGTGGACGTGGACGTGGACCTGGACCTGGACGTGGACATGGACGTGGACGTAGACATGGACGTGGACGTGGACATGGACGTGGACCGTGACGTGGAAGTGGACGTGGACCTGTGGACGTGGACGTAGAAATGGACTGTGGACGTGGACGTGGGACCTGGACGTGGACCATGGACGTGGACATGGACGTGGACGTGGACATGGACGTGGACGTGGACGTGGACGTGGACGTAAACGTGGACGTAAAAATGGACGTGGACGTGGACGTGGCCGTGGACGTGGACCTGGACGTTGACGTGGACGTGGCGTGGACCGTGGACGTGGACGTGGAGACATGGACGTGGACATGGACGTGGACGTGGACGTGGACGAGGACGAGGACGTGGACGTGGACGTGGACGAGGAGGACATGGACGTGGACGTGGACGTGGACGTGGAACGAGGACGAGGACGTAGACGTGGACGTGGACGTGGACGTGGACGTGGACGAGGACGAGGACGTGGACGTGGACGTGGACGTGGACGTGGACGTGGACGTGGACGTGGACGTGGACCTGGACGTTAACGTGGACGTGGACGTGGAGGACATGGACGTGGACGTGGACGTGGACGTTGACGTTGACGTGGACGTCGAAATGGACGTAGACGTGGACGTGGACGTGGACGTGAACGTGGAGGTGGACGTGGACGTGGACCGTTGACGTGGACGGTGGACGTGGTACGTGGACGTGGACGTGGACGTGGAGGACATGGACTGTGGACGTGGACGTAGGACGTGGACGTGGACATGGACGTATACGTGGACGTGGACGAGGACGTGGACGTGGACGTGGACGTGGACGTGGACGTTAGAAATGGACGTGGACGTGGACGTGTAGGACATGGACGTGGACGTGGACGTGGACGAGGACGAGGACGTGGACTGTGGACGTGTAGGACATGGACGTGGACGTGGACGTGGACGTGGACGTGGACGTGGACATGAACGTGGACGTGGACGTGGACGTGGACGTGGACGTGGACATGGACGGACATGGACGTAGACGTGGACGTGGACGTGGACGTGGACTTCGACTTGGACGTGGACGTGGACGTGCACGTCGTACGTCGACGTCGACGTGGACGGTGGACGTGGACGTGGACTTGCACATGGACGTGGACGTAGACCGTGGACGTGGACATGGACATGGACGTGGACGTGGACGTAGAATATGGACGTGGACGTGGACGTCGGCGTGCACATGCACGTGGACATGGACGGTGGACGTGGACGTGGACATGGACGTGAACGTGGACGTGGACGAGGACGTGGACGTGGTCGTGGACGTGGACGTAGACATGGACGTGGACGTGGTCGTGGACATGGATGTGGACGTGGAGGACGTGGACGTGGAGGACTGTGGACGTGGACGTGGAGGACGAGGACGTGGACGTGGACGTGGACGTGTACGTAGACGTGGACGTGGACGTGGACGTGGACCTGGACGTGGACGTGGACGTGGACGTGGACATGGATGGGGACGTGGACGTGGTCGTGGAGGACAGACGTGGACGTGGACGTGGACGTGGTACGACCTGGACGTGGACGTGGACGTGGACGTGGACGTGGACGTGGCCGCGGACGCGGACGTGGACGCGGACGCGGACGTGGCCGCGGACCGCGGACGTGGACGTGGACGCGGACGTGGACGCGGACGCGGACGTGGACGTGGACGCGGACTTGGACGTGGACGTGGACGGGGACGTGGACGGGGACGTGGACGTGGACGTGGAGATGACGTGGACGTGGATGTGGACGTTGACGTGGACGTGGACGTGGACGTGGACGTGGACGTGGACGTGGAAATGGACGTGGACGTGGACGTGGAAATGGACGTGGAGGTGGACGTGGACGGAGACGTGGAGGACGACGTGGACGTGGAGGACGTGGACGTGGACGTGGACGTGGACGTGGACGTGGAGGACGTGGACGTGGTCGTGGACGTGGTCGTGGACGTGGACGTGGACGTGGACCTGGACCTGGACGTTGACGTGGACGAGGACGTGGACGTGGATGTGGAGGACATGGACGTGGACGTGGACGTGGACGTGGACGTAGAAGTGGACGTGGACGTGGACGTGGACGTGGACGTGGACCTGGACGTGGACCTGGACGTGGATGTGGACGAGGACGAGGACGTGGACGTGGACGTGGACGTGGACGTGGACGTGAACGTGGACGTGGACGTGGTCGTGGACGTGGTCGTGGATGTGGACGTGGACGTGGACCTAGACCTGGACGTTGACGTGGACGAGGTCATGGACGTGGACGTGAAGGACATGGACGTGGACGTGGACGTGGACGTGGACGTAGAAATGGACGTGGACGTGGACGTGGACGTGGACGTGGACCTGGACCTGGACCTGGACGTTGACGTGCACGTGGACGTGGACATGGACATGGACCTGGACGTGGACGTGCACGTGGAGGTGGACGTGGAGGTGGACGTGGACGTGGACCTGGACATGGACGTGCACGTGGAGGTGGACGTGGACGTGGACCTGGACATGGACCTGGACGTGGACGTGGAGGACATGGACGTGGACGTGGACGTGGACGTTGACGTGGACGTGGACGTGGACGTGGACGTGGACCTGGACGTGGACGTGGACGTGGACGTGGACGTGGACGTGGACGTGGACGTGGACGAGGACGAGGACGTGGACGTGGACGTGGACGTGGACGTGGACGTGGACATGGACGTGGACGTGGAAGTGGACGTGGACGTGGACGTAGAAATGGACGTGGACGTGGACGTGGATGTGGACGTGGACATGGACGTGGTCCAGGAGCTTGCCTGGTCCAGGAGCGTGCCTGGTCCAAGAGCGTGCCTGGTCCAGGAGCTTGCCTGGTCCAGGAGCGTGCCTGGTCCAGGTGCTTGCCTGGTCCACGAGCTAGCCTCTTCCTAGAGCTTGTCTTGTCCAGGAGCGTCCTTGGTCGAGGAGCTTGCCTGGTCCAGGAGCTTGCCTGGTCCAAGAGCTTGCCTTGTCCTGGAGGTTCACTGGTCCAAGACCTTGCCAGGTGCAAGAGCTTGTCAGGTCCAGGTGCATGCCGGGTCCACAAGCTTGCCTGGTCCAGGAGCTTGCCTCATCAAGGAGCTTGCCTGGTCTAGGAGCTGGCCTGGTCCTGGAGCGTGCCTGGTCTTGGAATGTGTCTTGTCTAGGAGCGTGCCTAGTCCATGAGCTTGCCTCGTCTAGGAGCGTGCTTGGTCAAGGAGCTTGCCTGGTCCAAGAGCTTGCCTGGTCCAACAGCTTGCCTAGTCCACAAGCTTGCCTAGTCCAAGAGCTTGCCTCGTCAAGGAGCTTGCCTGGCCTTGTCTAGGAGCGTGCGTGGTCCTGGAATGTGTCTGGTCCAGGAGAGTGCCTAGTCCATAAGCTTGCCTCGTCTAGGAGCTTGCCTGGTCCAGGAGCTTGCCTGGTCTTGGAGCTTGCCTGATCCTGGAGCTTGCCTGGTCCATTGCAAGCTAACAGACCAAGAAAGCTCCAGGACAGGGCAGGCTCCTGGACCAGGCACGCTCCTGGAACAGGCAAGCTCCTGGACCAGGCAAGCTCCTGGACCAGGCAAGCTCTTGGACCAGGCAAGCTCCTGGACTAGGCAAGCTCCTGGACCAGGCACGCTCCTGGACCCGGCAAGCTCCTAGACCGGGCAAGCTCTTGGACCAGGCAAGCTCCTGGTCCAGGCAAACTCGTGGACCAGGTACGCTCCTGGACCAGGCAAGATCTTGGACGAGGCAAGCTCCTGGACCAGGCAAGCTCCTAGACCAGGCAAGCTCATGGACCACGAACGCTCCTTGACCTGGCAAGCTCCTAGACCAGGCAAGATCTTGGACGAGGCAAGCTCCTGGACCAGGCAAGCTCCTGGATCAGGCAAGCTCCTCGACCAGGCACGCTCCTGGACCAGGCAAGCTCCTAGACCAGGCAAGGTCCTGGACCAAGCAAGCTCCTAGACCAGCCAAGCTCGTGGACCAGCCATGCTCGTGGACCAGCCAAGCTCCTGGACAGGGCATGCTCCTAAACGACAAAAGCTCTTGGACCAGGCAAGCTCTTGGACCAGGCAAGCTCCTGGACCAGCCAAGCTCCCGGACCATGCAAGCTCGTGGACCAGGCACGGTCCTGGACCAGGCAAGATCCTAGACCAGGCAAGCTCCTGGACCAGGCAAGCTCCTGGACCAGGCAAGCTCGTGGACCGAGCAAGCTCGTGGACCAGGCAAGCTCCTTGACCAGGCAAGCTCCTAGACCAGGCACGCTCCTGGACCAGGCAAGCTCCTAGACCACGCAAGCTCCTGGACCACGCAAGCTCTTGGACAAGGCACGCTCTTGGACCAGGCAAGCTCTTGGACCAGGTAGGCTTCATGACCGGGCAAGCTGCTGGACAAGGCAAGCTCCTGGACCAGGCAAGATCCTGGTCCAGCCAAGCTCATGGACCACGCAAGCTCCTGGACCAGGAACGCTCGTTGACCAGGCACGCTATTGGACCAGGCAAGCTCCTAGACCAGGCAAGGTCCTGGACCAGGCAAACTCCTGGACCAGGCAAGCTCATGGACCGGGCACGCTCCTGGACCAGGCAAGCTCCTGGACCAGGCAAGCTCCTAAACCACGCAAGCTCTTAGACCGGGCAAGCTCGTGGAACACGCAAGCTCCTGGACCAGGCAAGCTGCTAGACCAGGCAAGCTCCTTGACCAGGCAAGCTCGTGGACTAGGCAAGCTCTTGGACCAGGCAGGCTTCTGGACCAAGCAAGCTCCTGGACCACGCAAGCTCCTGGACTAGGCAAGCTCGTGGACCAGGCAGGCTCTTGGACCAGGCAAGATCCTGGACCAAGCAAGCTCCTGGACCAGGCACACTCGTGGACCAGGCACACTCCTGGACCAGGCAAGCTCTTGGACCAGGCACGCTCTTGGACCAGGCAAGCTCTTGGACCACGCAAGCTCCTGGACCAGGCACGCTCGTGGACCAGGCACGCTCCTAGCCTAGGCACGCTCCTGGAACAGGCAACCTCATGGACCAAGCACGCTCCTTGACCAGGCAAGCTCCTGGACGAGGCAAGCTCCTAGACCATGCAAGCTCTTGGACCAGGCACGCTCCTGGACTAGGCAAGCTCTTGGACCAGGCACGCTTCTGGACCAAGCAAGCTCCTGGACCAGGCAAGCTCCTTGACGACGCAAGCTCTTGGACCAGGCAGGCATCTAGACCAAGCAAGCTCCTGGACCTGGCAAGCTCCTGGACCACGCAAGCTTCTGGACAAGGCAAGCTCTCGGACCAGGCAATATCTTGGACCAGGCAAACTCCCGGTCCAAGGAAGCTCCTGGACCAAGCAAGCTCGTGGACCGGGCACGCTCCTGGACCAGGCAAGTTCCTAGACGAGGCAAGCTCCTGGACCAGGCAAGCTCCTGGACATTGCAAGCTCCTGGACTTGGCAAGCTCCTGTACCACGCACGCTCCTGGACCAGGCAAGCTCCTAGACTAGGCAAGCTCCTCGACCACGCAAGCTCTTGGACCAGACAAGCTCCTGGACCGGGCAAGCTCCTGGACCAGTCAAGCTAACGGACCATGAAAGCTCCTGGACAAGGCAAGCTCGTGGAGATTGGTCTAGGAGTTTGCCTGGTCCAGCAGCTTGCCTGGTCTAGGAGCTTGCCTGGTCTAGGAGCTTGCTTGGTCCAGGAGCGTTCCTAGTCCACGAGTTTGCCTGGTCCAGAAGCTTGCGTGGTCCAGGAGCTTGCTTGTTCCACGAGCGTGCCTGGTCCAGGAGCTTGCCTTGTCCAGGAGCTTTCCTGGTCCGTTAGCTTGCCTGGTCCAGGAGCTTGCCTGGTCTAGGAGCTTTCGTGGTCCAAGAGCTTGCCTAGTCCAAGAGCTTGCCTGGTCCAGCAGCTTGCCTGGTCCAGGAGCGTGCGTGATCCACGAGCTTGCCTGGTCCATGAGCTTGACTGGTCCAGGAGCGTGCCTGGTCCAAGAGCTTGCCTGGTCCAGGAGCTTTCATGGTCCAAGAGCTTGCCTGGTCCAAGAGCTTGCTTGGTCCAGAAGCCTGCTTGGTCCAAGAGCTTGCCTGGTCCAGGAGCGTGTCTGGGTTAAGAGCTTGCCTGGTCCAGGAGCTTGCGTGGTCGAGGAGCTTGCCTGGTCCAGGAGCTTGCCTGGTCCAGGAGCTTGCCTTGTCCAAGAGCTTGTCTGGTCCAAGAGCTTGTGTGGTCTAGGAGCTTGCCTGGTCCAGGAGCTTGCCTAGTCTAGGAGCTTGCCTAGTCTAGGAGCTTGCCTAGTCCAAGAGCGTGCCTGGTCCGGAAGCTTGCCTGGTCCAAAAGCTTGCCTGGTCTAAGAGCTTGCATGGTCCAGGAGCGTGCCTGGTCCAGGAGCTTGCCTGGTCCAGGAGCTATCCTGGTCCAGGAGCTTGCCTGGTCAAGGAGCTTGCCTGGTCCAGGAGCTTGCCTTCTGTTCCAAGAGCTTGCTTGGTCCAGAAGCCTGCCTGGTCCAAGAGCTTGCCTGGTACAGGAGTGTGCCTGGTCCAAGAGCTTGCGTGGTCCAGGAGCTTGCGTGGTCCAGGAGCTTGCCTGGTCAAGGAGCTTGCCTGGTCCAGGAGCTTGCCTCGTCCAAGAGCTTGCCTGGTCCAGAAGCTTGCCTGGACCAGGAGCTTGCCTAGTCCAGCAGCTTGCCTGGTCTAGGAGCTTGCCTTGTCTAGGAGCTTGCTTGGTCCAAGCGCGTTCCTGGTCCACGAGTTTGCCTGGTCCAGAAGCTTGCCTGGTCCAGGAGCTTGCCTGTTCCATGAGCGTGCCTGGTCCAGGAGCTTGCCTTGTCCACGAGCTTTCATGGTCCATTAGCTTGCCTGGTCCAGGAGCTTGCCTGGTCCAGGAGCTTCCCTGGTCCAAGAGCTTGCGTGGTCCAGGAGCTTGCTTGGTCCAGGAGCTTGCCTGGTCAAGGAGCTTGCCTGGTCCAGGAGCTTGCCTGGTCCAAGAGCTTGCCTGGTCTAGGAGCTTGCCTGGTCCAGGAGCTTGCCTAGTCCAGCAGCTTGCCTGGTCTAGGAGCTTGCCTGGTCTAGGAGCTTGCCTGGTCCAGGAGCGTTCCTGGTCCACGAGTTTGCCTGGTCCAGAAGCCTGCCTGGTCCAAGAGCTTGCCTGGTCCAGGAGCGTGCCTGGTCCAAGAGCTTGCGTGGTCCAGGAGCTTGCGTGGTCCAGGAGCTTGCCTGGTCAAGGAGCTTGCTTGGTCTAGGAGCTTGCCTGGTCCAAGAGCTTGCCTGGTCCAGGAGCTTGCCTGGTCCAGGAGCTTGCCTAGTCCAGCAGCTTGCCTGGTCTAGGAGCTTGCCTGGTCTAGGAGCTTGCCTGGTCCAGGAGCGTTCCTGGTCCACGAGTTTGCCTGGTCCACAAGCTTGCCTGGTCCAGGAGCGTTCCTGTGCCAAGAGCTTGCTTGGTCCAGAAGCCTGCCTGGTCCAAGAGCTTGCCTCGTCCATGAGCGTGCCTGGTCCAAGAGCTTGCGTGGTCCAGGAGCTTGTGTTGTCCAGGAGCTTGCCTGGTCAAGGAGCTTGCCTGGACTAGGAGCTTGCCTGGTCCAAGAGCTTGCCTGGTCCAGGAGCTTGCCTGGTCTAGGAGCTTGCCTAGTCCAGCAGCTTGCCTGGTCTAGGAGCTTGCCTGGTCTAGGAGCTTGCCTGGTCCAGGAGCGTTCCTGGTCGAGGAGCTTTCTTGGTCCAAGAGCTTGCCTGGTCCAAGAGCTTGCGTGGTCCAAGAGCTTGCCTGGTCGAAGAGCTTGCCTAGTCCACGAGTTTGCCTGGTCCAGAAGCTTGCCTAGGCCAGGAGCTTGCCTGGTCTAGGAGCTTGCATGGTCCAGGAGCGTGCCTGGTCCAGGAGCTTGCCTGGTCCAGGAGCTATCCTGGTCCAAGAGCTTGCCTGGTCAAGGAGCTTGCCTGGTCCAGGAGCTTGCCTTCTGTTCCAAG